GTTGCTATTACAAAGGCCCGGATGGAGCAGCGCTGGCTATAAGGCAAAAATAGAGTTTTTGAACATATTTAGACTCATCATTTATCACAGCGCCAAAGCAATAACGTGTTGCCAGTGATCAGTCATGCCTCGTGTTCACTAAAATATAATTTAGATGCAACAACTGGCTGTGATCCCCCCAATACAAAGCTCTTCGGGGCTCTTTTGCATGTCAAAGGCTGTCATTTATGTGTGTGGTTGCACATGATGTGTGATGATGATGATGTCGTCCTTCCTCTCTCTGAAGGTCCACGAGCTGTGTGATAATTTCTGTCACCGGTACATCAGCTGCTTGAAAGGCAAGATGCCCATCGACCTGGTCATAGACGACCGGGAGGGCGGGTCCAAATCCGACAGCGAGGAAATCACGAGATCATCGGTGGCCCTTGATCAGGTACATCTCTCTCTCTGTCTGTCACTGTGTGTGTGTCACTGTGTGTATGTGTGTGTGTGTGTGTGTGCGCGCGCGCTCGTGCTCTCCCTGCTGGCTATTCAGCTATTCTGGGTCACTACTCTGCTATTTGCATATGATTAAGGCCGTTTTACATTCCGTCCATCGGAATGAAAATGTCTCTCTGAATAATGTTGCTATTATTGGCCCATTAAAGACTTGAACCCGGAACCGACCCGGGGAGATTAGCTCGGTAAAAAGAAAAGGCATCGCCACAAACTTGACCTGCTTCGTGTCCATTTTAATTTAGCGCCTCTCTCCATTTTTTCTCGCCGTTTTTATGCCACTAAAAGCGGGGTGGAGAGAAAAAAAACACCCCGGTCCTCGGCTCCTCTGTTTGTCTGCAGCCCGGCGGAGGAGGAGGAGGAGGAGGAGGAGGATGGGTCTGCAGACTGCGGGGCCGAGGTGCCGTCCTTCGGTTTCTCCACTGTGGAGTTCACGGTTCATTACGCGTCTTGTCAGTATTTTTCCTCAGACATGAGTGCACATTGCTTATCGAGACCCCTGCGCTTCTTCCCTTCCTGTCCTCTCGCGCTCAGGTTTCTTCTCTGAGAGCCGCGGAAGAAGCAGCAGCGGGTATTAAAGGTAGATTAGGGAGTGTTTGCCCCCTTTTGTGCCGATATCAAGAGATAACCGCGGCCTTCATTATGTGCTCCACTGACTGCTGGCACTCCGGGGACATTGTAGTGCGCGCGCACACAGGCATGACCCTAATGGTCCATACACACTGCCGTTAAATAATGATAACAGCAACCGATGATTAGAATTATGCAAATCTGGATTTTTTTTGTCGGCCATTAATAGCTCGAGTCGCTCGAGACGGAGCTGCAGACTGTGAGACCAATAAGTTAAAACTCCATCCAGAGTTTTAAGAGCGCATGAGAGGAGCGGCTACGGATAGCGACGAGGGGAAAAAATCAAGTGTCCAAATTAAAGGGATTAGTTGGATAGTCCGACATAAAAAGTAATGAAGCGATTAGGCTAAATAATTTAAATCCGCGGACTTCCATATGGTTGAGTGGCTGGTCTGAGGCAGCCACCGGCTTTTATGTTCCGGGCTGAATGGCAGGACTGGGAGCGGACTGGGAAGCCCCCCCTCCCCTCCACCTTCCCCACCCAAGCCCTTATGTCTGATTATGGAAATGAGAAAGATCACCCGGAAGATTATACTTCATTTAATCCAGGAGCAGAATTAAATAACACAGACGCCACTTGTGCATTTAAGTGTCTCTTTGAACGGCTCCTTGTATCCTCTCAGGGATTCACTTGTCTCTCTTTCTTTTCTTTTTTATGATTATAGATAGGTCAGGACATGGAATGAAGCCTTATGCTATATGGAAATAGAGAGTGTGTTAACCCCCTTGGGTTTCCAGGTATATGAGGAAAACCATGTTGTGCTCGAGGCTCTGATGCAGATCTTTAATTGACTGTAAGATGAAGATGTGGCCTATATATTTTTTTTTTAATGTGGCGACGGACCCTTTACATGCAGCCAATTCAGGGCCAAACCACACAGGCTTGTGTTTACGCTGATGTGACAGAATACTATGACCTACAGGTGTAGTTTGCATTGCAATGCGGGGGGGCATTTTTGACAGATGTGTAAAATGAGGGATGGGCTGCTGTGGTGGGATAATGTGGAGACTGTGTGTAAATGGGCATATCCAAACAGAGGCTGCATGCCTCTCACAGCTGAATATATTAACGGCAGTGCTCTTCATAACTCAACTCGCCGCTCAATATATATATTTTTTGGAGTTTTGTGTGACATCTTATCTGCGGTTGTTAGGCAGTGACATCCTGAACGAATTTGCGTTTGTGTGTGCATTATCTCTTTCCATATGTATTTTTAATATATGCCCTCGGGCATAAAGTTGAAGTGGACTGAAAAAAAAAAAAAAGAATTTGCACAAAAGAACAATGTTAACAAGACGGAGAAAGCAGGCTCATTTATTCATAAACCAATTTATTCCAGTGAGGCGACTGTAGAGGAGGAGGAGGAGAAAAAAAAATACTTTGAATTTATTAAACTCAACAATCCAACAACGCTGACTCTCTCTGCTGCATTTGCACCCTTGCGTCACGTAACAGTTTGGAATATTCTTTACATGTCTTTACGTTTGCTTTGTTAGCCGCGGCCGAGTGTACGGAGAGAGGGGGAACGCCGGGCGCCCCTCTCAGAAGAAAAGCACAGCAGAGCTGAGAGGTGAAAAAGTCACAGAGGCTCTGCGCCGGCTTGTGAATGCAGCCCAGCCAGTTTGGGCTCACCCTCCTGTGTGTGTGTGTGTGTGTGTGTGTGTGTGTGTCTACAAGTGTATGCATATATGTGTGTGTGTGTGTGTGTGTGTGTGTTCAGACTGGCCTGATAAATGCAGCACCCCCCTCAGGTGCTATGTGAGTGGAGTGACTGGTTAGCACCAGTTGGACTTCTTTAACCCTTTCCCTGCCTGCTTCCCCAGAGAGCTTCCCACCACCTTTTCCCTCATTTCGTCTCTTTGGGAGCACGTTTCCACACATCCCTTCTTTGAGTTCAGCTGTAAATAAACAGAAAAGACGCAGTAGAGTTACAGTACGAGTGACTTTTAATGTGGAAGGGACTACTTGTGTGCTGCTGATTGCATCCCTCTGTTTGCTCCGCTGCATATGTTCACCTCAGTCTAAAAAGGAGCGGGGAGGTATTTCCATGCCGTCGTACGTCATTTTCGCACAGTTGCCTTTTTAATTGCACAGAGAGCGCGTGAGGGGGGGGCCGCGGCAATTTGCTAATGAACTCCGAGGGGCCCGGGCTCTCTCTCTCTCTGCTGTAGAGCAGAACACTACTAATGGTGCTGAGGACTCACTCCGGGCCTCGAGAGCTCCTCCACTTGATTGAGCCGTGCAGGCTGAAGTGGGGCTGGAAATAATTGAAATTTTCCCATAAAAAAATAGTTCTGCCTGCCTTTTATTTGTGTTTGTGGATGTGAGAGAGTCTTAAGTGACGAGCGCTCAGCAGCTGACCCGTTGAGTTCTATTCGTCAGGAGGTATTCTTCTATAAAAAGAGCTTTATTGACACTGAAATTGTGTGTAAATAACCTTCAATCTCAAGTGACATCTCTACGTTTGGGAACTAAATGTTTCCTAAACAAACCCTGTGCCCTGTGTGAGCTTAGTGCTGTTGGTCACCGTGCAAGAATTTACTCTCGATAGCGCTACCGCCGTATCCCCCCCCCCCCCACAACAATTGGCACCACGATGCCATACAAGTGCTGGTTTCCAGGTCAGCGAGGGACCCAGCAGTGTTGGTTTAGGTAACTCTATGGCAGTCAAAGAGTGACCCCCCCACCCTTCCTCTCCAAACTCAATGGAAACCCTGACCGCCGGGGTCAGCCACTATATTTTTCCTAATCAGTACTATCGCTAATCTATCGGCTTCTGGTTGAAGTATGTATCGAGTTACTCTCTCTCTCCTGCAGTCGCACGCTGACCATCGGAACACAAACTTGTGAATCATCGTGCCGATTGTCGGTAATAGCAGCTTTTGTAGTTGAATAGAGGAGAGGTTTTGACCCCCCCTCCCTCCTCTACACCCCCTCCTCCTTTCCCCTGCCCCCCCATCCTCCCCTTTTTCTTTTTTCCATTGGGGAGTGAATGCAGGGCGGCTGTTCAGGATTCAACAAGTGATACAAAGAGGCGACACCACGTGACTTGTGTGTTTCTTAGCCTCTTCATTATTGTGCTGGAATAGCAAGTAGGGGTGATTGTGATTAAGCAAATCAAGGCCGGGGGGTGACTTCAAAGAACGAGAGTGTCAACAGCTTCTTTTTTATACGTTTTTTATACATTTTCAAACATTTTTTCCATTAGTTGCTTTTTAAAATCATATTTCTGGAAATTCTTGTTAAAAAACGATTCTCCCACAAAATCCCAACTGCAAATAAAGTTCCTGGCTTGCGTCTCGTGTTACTTGTGATGGGCGGCCATGTCCGTCCCCGAGGCCTGCTGTGGTTTCTTTGGCTAAGTAAACAATAACCTGGCTTAACACATGTGTACTTAGCTAATGGAAAGTTCCTTCCCCCCCCCCCCCCCCCCCCCCCCCCCCTGTCAGCCCCTGACAATGGGCCACCATCTCCAAGGGACCCGCCGAGAACATCCCAGTGCTGTTTGAGCTAGGCTAGGCTAACGCAGGAAAACCGCAGCTAAAACGTGTCATTAACAAATTATGCCCGCCTTTTTTTTTTTCATTCGTATCTGAATAAAAGGGAAATATGCTTTGAGAGCACTCCAGCTCATGTTTGTGTTTGGACTCACAGAGGGGGTAAACAAAAGCAGCGAGAGCTGAAGTGGCAAGAGGCCACGGAGAAAAGAAAAGAAATCACTGTCATTTTCCGTGAGTGTCATCTAAAGCTCTGGTAATTATCTCAAACGTGTAATTATCTGTGCCCGTCTCCACGAGGTTAACCCGGCGGTTTGAAGGAGTACCTGACGGCTATTCAACGTAGCATACTTAACTTACTCAAGAGACCAAATCCAGTTCTTCTCCCTCACCCCCTTCAGCAATTATAAGGTTATTTCTTCTTTCTTTGTCTATTGTGGAGAGTTTGGGGGAGGGGGTGGTGGGCAGAATGGGAGGGAGGGAGGGTCTTTTGCTCTCTCACTCCCCCCTTTTTATTTTTGCACCACGCATACCATTATCAGCCCCTCTTTTCTGAAGCACAGATATTGCAGTGAAGGGGAGGAGGAGGAGGAGGAGGAGGAGGAGGAGGAGAGAGAGAGCGGACGTAGTTGCCTGGCCGGTTATCACGGAGGCAGATCCTGCTTTATCTATCACAGTGGAAAGCAAAGTAAACAAGAGGTTTTACAATAGCTGGCCTTTCAGCCGCCCCCCCCCCACCCCCACCCCCCCCCATCACTCACAGCTTCTCCACCAGCTGAGTGGGAGAATGTGTCCAGGGCCAATCTCGCCGCTGCAACACATGGCATTCTCACGCATTTCAAACTGGAGGAAGCAGTGCTGCCCAGCAAAAGGTCAAAAACGGTGTTAAAGAAAAACAACCTGCTGGAGAACATATGCACCAAAGCATTCTGGGGGATGGAGTAGCCCGGCTTGTCATCTTTGATTCAGATGTACCACCACTGAAGAGTGCGTGTGTGTGTGTGTGTGTGTGTGTGTGTGTGTGGG